TTTTCATACAGTTTAAAACTTTTATACGTTTTCTCTTTTAAACTGATCAGTTGAAAAATGTGCTTTATACCAACAATTGTTTAACTTTCATTATCTTAAGGGCCTTTCTGCATATACATTACAATTCACCCCGTTCACCACCCCCAACTCTAACTCTGTTCCCCACCCTTCACCTCCAATCTAATTCTATTTTTCCCACCCTTTTAATAAATATTTAAAGGAATTGAGTTTTCACCACAAACTCTGATTTTCTAAACCCTGTATATCTTTACTACCAAAGGAATTGAATCTTTGCCACAAACTCAATTTTCTAATTCCTATATCTTTGCAACCTGATGGTTCAAACCTTTGATACTTGGAGGGTGTAAGATAAAGGTATTCACAAATCATAGTTTTTTTTTAAAGAATCAATTCCTTTAAATTTAAAGCTACAAATTCTGTTAGACCAAATAATTTAAGTTTCAAATATTAAAGTTGTACTCCATCAGGTTGTAAAAATACAGTGATAGGAGAATCAGAGTTTGTGGAAGTGACTCAATACTATAACAATATCTTCAATTTTTTGCTTTTGTCTTCTTTCAAATTTTGGTGATTTTCTCTACTCCTTTTCTCTTTTAAATGTAATCTATATATAAATTTATAAATTTGGCTTGTCTTGGTGTTTGTCTGTTTGTTTGTTTGTATCCAATAAACGTCAAAACGGCTGAACCGATCGGGCCCAAATTTTTGTGGGACATCACGTGACCACAAAGAATGTTTATGAATGATAAAATTTTTTTAAAAAATGTGTTTTAAAGGTTTTTAATTTAGTAAAAAAATTTAAATTCTTGAAAATCCACGAATTTTTTTTGAAAATCCGCAAATTTTCTTCTTCTTTGTTTTAAGATGTAAACAAAAAGAACATATTCACAATTTAACTAGAAGATGGACGCGAAGCGCCCTAAAAGCCTAGAAAGAAGAGCGCGAAGCGCCTTGAATTTCTAGTATAATAAATATGCCGATGAAAAATGGACATACATGATATAATATATATTATTTAAAAAATACTCTTTTTAAATTTTAGTATATGTTTAAAGTTCAAACAATTTCTTTATAAAATTTCTTTTTGATATCTTTCTAATCTTCAAAGGTTTAGATATGAACTCCGTTGTTACTGTAAACTCAACGAAAATACAAAATTAAATACCTTTGTTAAAGTGACATATTTGAACCGAGAGTGCTGTATTTAAGATTCATTTAATTCTACCCTTCACAAATTTGTTATTTAGGAATAGGTTGAGAAAATAAAATTAACTCTTATCATCAAAAATAAGTAATTTTATTCAGTTACTGGGTTTTGTAATATTTGATTGTCCACAAACATTTTCCGTAGATTTCCTGGATTTTTTTTGAAAACACCATGCGCATTTGAAGAAAGAACTGTTTAAGTAGTTAAATTAAAATAACATTCTTTTCAGAGGATTAACTTTTTCAACGCGTATGGGCACTTTTATTTGATAAAAATAAAAGTATAATTGTTGAATAGGTGAACACTCCCTTTTACAAATTGGATATTTATTTTATCAATCTATTTCTGTTAGACCTTTGCAATAATATTTTCAAATATCTTGAAAATATTGTCCAAGATGAGCCTCTTCAACAACATTGTGAAAACTTCAATTGGATTCTTCTAAATTATTTATTTTGAACATCTTAACGGGAAAATATAATTCATAATTTAAAAAATATTTGAGTTAATCTGTAGAATTATTTTTAGTGGTTAATCAAATCAAGATCAACGAGTAGAAAATGAACTTGAAACTTGATCAAGACTAATAAATCCATAGATTAATTAGAATAACTGATAGGACAATAGATAGGGGTTTTCATTTCACAATAAATCTGAGGCAGATGTCCAAAGGAGTTACGCGCATGCTCTCTCTCTGCTTTTAAAAGACGACATTTAGTGTCCAATTTGTTATTCTATGAATGAATAAAACCAAGAATTCTTCGAAGTTTTTTCTAACCCCTATTTTTCTCTGACAAAATTAAAATCCTGTCCAAAAGTTTATTTTCGAAATTTCAGAACTTCTTGTGAATTCAAATTAGATTTAAAATAAAGGAATAAAAGTCAAATTATTTCTATTGTGAAATTAGACAATTCAATAAATCTAAAATCACGTAAAATTCAAATGAAAATCCAGAAATGATTTTTTAAATTATTTTGGTTTTCAAGTTTTTTTCCAAATCCCTTATTCAGAGGAGGAGGGTAGGTAAGGCCACATTTCCGGAGGATGAGGATTAGGTAACCCCCTTTTCCGGAAAATAAGGAGAGGGAACCCCACCCCCCATTCCTCCCCTTCCGATCCGACTCTGTCGATTTCTCTCATTAGTATGCAACATCTGTAATCTGTAGAGAAAACAATATAGACATATTGTTTATTCATGAAGGAACCAATAAATGTCAAAAATGTCATTAACTGTCTCGGACGTATTGAAGAAGGAGGGGGGGGGGGGGGGGGGGGGGGGAGGGGGGGATTCGAGATCAAGCATTGATTTATTGTGCAGTTCTACAGATTAATTTAATTCTCCTTCAATATCCCGTGGTAATAACTTAAATGACACTCTAGTATGCGCCTGTCCAATCAGGGTTCAGTCATGTGTTTGTTGTCTATTCTAAACCAATAGAAATAGTATGGCGGTAACATCTATCTTTCTATCTATCTCATCATCCAATTAGAGATATGGATCATTCAATCGGCGCTATCAGTAAATGGAAATATTTACTTCTACTCTACTGAAACCATAGTGATGAAGAGATCAAACATTGATCCCCAAATTAAAAGTGTCCACACTGGATTTGGAGACAAGTTACCAGCTCTGGTTATCTAGTCTAAAATTACAGTTACTTATAATTACAAGCTTCGTTTTTTACTTTTAAGGTTCAAGAAAAATCTTACAAGTTCACAAATTTTAAAATTTTTTATTTTAAACATTTGCATTCCGCTTTGCCAAACTTTAAGAAACTAAAAGAAGAAATATGTAAAAAAGAAGAAATGTAGAAAAGAAGAAATATTTAAAAGGAAATGTATGTAAAAAAGAAGAAATATGTAAAAAGGAAGATATATGTAAAATGGAGATATATGTAAAAAAAGAAGAAATATGTAAAAAAAGAAGATATATGAAAAAAAGAAGAAATATGTAAGATAGAAGAAATATGTAAAAAAGAAGATAAACGTAAAAAAAAGAAGAAATATGTAAATAAGAAGATATTTGTAAAAAAAGAATAAATATGTAAAAAACAAGAAATATGTAAAAAAGAAGATATACGTAAAAAAGAAGAAATATGTAAAAAAGAAGAAATGTAGAAAAGAAGATATATGTAAAAAAGAAGATATATGTAAAAAAGAAGAAATATGTAAAAAAGAAGATATACGTAAAAAAAGAAGATATACGTAAAAAAAGAAGATATACGTAAAAAAAGAAGAAATATGCAAAAAAGGAGAAATGTAGAAAAGAAGATATATGTAAAAACGAAGAATTATGTAAAAAAGAAGATATATGTAAAAAAGAAGATATACGTAAAAAAGAAGAAATATGTAAAGAAGAAGAAATATGTAAAAAAGAAGATATACGTAAAAAAAGAAGAAATATGTAAAAAAGAAGAAATATGTAAAAAAGGAGATATATGTAAAAAAAGAAGAAATATTAAAAAAAACTGATAAAGCCACAATTTAAAAGTTGAAATAGAAAATGGGCACGAAGCGCTCTAAAAGTCTAGCATATAGATATATATAGATTAGATGCACCAGTTGCAAGCAAATAAAAAACAGCATATAGAAAACTGTCTGAAGTTTGAATTTAAAACTACCTTAGCACGAAATGTGATTTTAAATAAATTATCGTCCAGTGTTTCTTTCAATAGTTTATTTGAGCAAATAAACAGTTGTAAAATATCTACTGAATCAAAAAAGCATCCGTCCAAAAAAAAAATTTTATATTTTTTATTTCGGAAAATGATCGTTAACTTAATTCTTTATTATGAATTACTATATTATGCTGTGACATCTAGCGTTGATAATATATATCAGTCAGTTTTCTAATCACTTAAGGTTTGGAATTGCAACATGAACTGTTAAATATATTATCTATCAAAGTAAACACAAATACATGTTTAATATTCTTATCTTATCTTTAACTGGTAAACATTACTGAATCTCATGAGTTGTCATGTCGTACATCCATTCTCCCCCCTGCAATAGTCCCCCTGTATACTATTAACCATTTCGACAAAATATTAGACATTAAAAATGTTTTTCAATACATTATTATTGAAAAAAAAAGTAATATATAGAAAGAAGTCTCAAATAAAAATTCATTGCTTGATGATATTAAATGACAAAATTTGAGAGTTGAACATTTTTTTGCGATTTCTCCCTTGATAATTCTGGAATTTGTTTTTCTTTTGTTGACTGTATCTAAAATCTTGTACATGAAAATTTGAATTTAAGATCATAAAGGAAACATGAAATACTCTTTGAAATTATAATGTTAACCCAAAATATATCCAAACATGTTTTAAACCTATCGAAATCTGCAATTTGATTTTTTTAGATTGCAAAATTAGAAAATTTTGGTTTGTGGGTAGGAAAGATTATCTACAGAAGAGAAACCCCCATTGTCCAATGCTGACCCTCCAGAGTTACGGAGACGTCAACTACCTCGTTCTCGTCCACGAACCTTCCTTGGGCACAATAAAGGTTTCTTATGATCTTAGCTCACAAATAGATCTACTCGTACATAAATCAGGAATCAACAGAACAGCTACCATAACCTTTCAAAAAGCTATACACAAAGTATGACCCAGGTCCCAATAAATTATGTTTATTTATTCTGTTTGTTTAATATATTTGCTATGGCAGAACTATTTCTTCTAATTTACATGACAATAAACAAACATATTGTAGAGAAAAGGGATTATATAAATTCAGCCAAATCCAAAAAAAAGATCGGGGAAAAAGATGGGACCAGGAAAAGGAAGAGTGAAAGATGGGACCAGGAAAAGAAGGAGGAAAAGATGGGCCAGGAAAAGAAGGAGGAAAAGATGGGACCAGGAAAAGAGGAGGAAAAGATGGGACCAGGAAAAGGAAGAGGGAAGGATGGGACCAGGAAAAGGAAGAGGGAAAGATGGTACCAGGAAAAAGAAAAGATGGGACCAGGAAAAGGAGGAGGAAAAGATGGGACCAAGAAAAGGAAGAGGAAAAGATGGGACCAGGAAAAGGAGGAGGAAAAGATGGGACCAGGAAAAGGAGAGGAAAAGATGGGACCAGAAAAAGGAAGAGGAAATGATGGGACCAGGAAAAGGAGAGGAAATGATGGGACCAGAAAAAGGAAGAGGAAAAGATGGGACCAGGAAAAGGAGGAGGAAAAGATGGGACCAGGAAAAGGAGGAGGGAAAGATGGGACCAGGAAAAGAAGGAGGAAAAGATGGGACCAGGAAAAGGAGAGGAAAAGATTGGACCAGGAAAAGGAAGAGGGAAAGATGGGACCAGGAAAAGAAGGAGGGAAAGATAGGACCAGGAAAAGGAGGAGGAAAAGATGGGACCAGGGAAAGGAAGAGGAAAAGATGGGACCAGGAAAAGAAGGAGGAAAAGATGGGACCAGGAAAAGAAGGAGGAAAAGATGGGACCAAGAAAAGGAGAGGAAAAGACGGGACCAGGAAAAGGAAGAGGGAAAGATGGGACCAGGAAAAGGAGGAGGGAAAGATGGGACCAGGAAAAGGAGAAGGAAAAGATATGACCAGGAAAAGGAAGAGGAAAAGATGGGACCAGGAAAAGAAGGAGGAAAAGATGGACCAGGAAAAGATGGGACCAGGAAAAGGAGAGGAAAAGATGGGACCAGGAAAACGAAGAGGAAAATATGGGACCAGGAAAAGAAGGAGGAAAAGATGGGACCAGGAAAAGGAGGAGGAAAAGATGGGGCCAGGAAAATGACCAATAAAGTGCGGAATGATTGTCGTCTTTTTCATTTCTTTCATTAAAAATATCACGTCATAAACCTGGTTTATTTCCGTAATATGACTTCAAGGCACGTTAAACGAGATATAACAGCTACAAATACAATATCAGTAACGATATTCGTCATGAAATGAATGAAACTAAAGATAAATAATTCTGATTTTTAATTGTTAAAGGCCGATTGTAATCGTATCTATTTAAAAAAAGTGGAATGTCCTATTCACAACGGTACCTTTAAAAGCTTTGTCTGATCAAGAATGTATAAGATATTTATCTTCTTCTCCGTATAAATTGATTAATTTCAATAGCGGTTCTTCCATAAATTGACTTGCTCATCTTTACTCCAGAAACAATAAGAAAAATTGTCAGAATTAAATTTAAAAAAAAAAATAATTTAAATTTTATTTACATTAATCAAATGTGTTGTCTACAGATAAGTTCTAACCCAACTCCTGGAAATGAAAATTGAATAAAACTATTATTATCCTTAATTTATGGTTTTCATGAACCGAGATGTTTTAATATCAAATGCACTCTANGGGGAAGGGGTGGAGAGAATAAGTATGATTAATTAGGAAAGTTGAACACCTGCGCATTATTATTTCTTTGGTTCTCTGTATCGTCATTCTTGATTATTTATTAAAGGCACTGCAGTGTCTTTCTAGTCTCCATGGTATATTTCCTCCAGACAACATACTTTTATTCAATACGTCTATTCACAAAAAATAAAATTCTTTATTTCGTTTTTTCTTTTTATCACAACAAAAGCAATTAAAAAATTTCCATGACTGATTGCATGATTTTAAATATACAGGGTGTCCCAATAAACATGGAAATTCAGTGACGAATTCGATAATAATTCTTTGATTTAGTGATACCTACTGAGAAAGCTGTAATCTGTAAGAGTTTCGTCTGCTATGTTCACATTTTGTTTGTTTGTTTTGACTGCATAAGGGTGTACTTAAAAAAACCAAGAAAATTGTAGTATACAAACAGAGTAAACTTGTCCGTCTTCACTGTTTATCTTGGGGAGAGATTATAGACACCTTTACAGTCTTTTACCCTTTTCATAAATTTATAAACTCTAGCAGACATAAAAATATTATGGGTTTTTAAAATTAGGTATTACAATGCTAATTTATAACAAAGACGATATCGAATTCGTCACCGAATTCCCGTGTTTTTTTGGGACACCCTGTAGTAGCTGGGACAGTAGCGTATTAAACCTCCAAACAAACTCATTAGTTTTCTTCAGACAATCAAAGAGAAATATCAACAGTCACCAATCCAGGTAATAAAGCAAAAAAAAGATATTATAACTGATTTTTTTTTTTAATCGAAAAGTTGATTCATTCAGAAAGTACTAATCTCTACTTTAACCTTATATAGCAATGGAATAAGCATATTAATTTTAAATATTTTAAAAGAAGAATCTTTTTCGAAACCATGCAAAATTTTCGCTTAGGAGTAATCGACAAATTACAAGTAACTTGTTTTTCCGTTTTGAAAATCGAGTTCAGGAATTATAGGATAGAAAAGTTCATTCTTACCTCACATGTCTCCTATTAAACAATAGGCAATCGACTTTACATATCAATATTTACATTTCACCCAGGTACTAGTGTTGAATGGTCCTTACCAGTACAAGAATACTAGTCTAGTCTTTACTTAAATACCAACCCGTCTAGTGTACCCAGTATGTGGTTGACCCAACCCGTCTAATGTACCCAGTATGCGGTTGACCCAGCTTGTCTGGTGTACCCAGTATGTGGTTGCACCAACCCATCTAATGTACCCAGTATGTGGTTGACCCAACCCGTCTAGTGCACCCAGTATGTGGTTGACACAACCCGTCTAGTGCACCCAGTATGTGGTTGACCCAACCCGTCTAGTGTACCCAGTATGTGGTTGACCCAACCCGTCTAGTGCACCCAGTATGTGGTTGACCCTACCCGTCTAGTGTACCCAGTATGTGGTTGACCCAATCCGTCTAGTGTACCCAGTATGTGGTTGACCCAACGCGTTTTCTGCAACAAACTTCGTGGGAAGAAAGATCCAGTGCGACTTTTTGAGGGGAAATTTTTTCTTTTTTACTAAAACCTTTTTTTAGCATTTTTACAATTCCTTTTAAACAAATATGTTGTTTTTAAGTAGGAAAATTTAATTTATTTTTATTTAATCCTGTTCTAAAAGGGTTTGCTTATATAATCTACTTAATTTATTTAATTGATATATATTTTACCGCCTTTTGACTAAACTTACCGACCAATTATTCCCCCAACAAAGGATGGTCAGGTTACTTTACGTCCCTTAGGACAGTTATGTAAAATAACAACCTTCTCTGCGAAGTTTTCGGGAAAAAATCCGCGCATTTTCATCTCAAAAGACGATAAAATTGTGTACAACTACTTTTTTGGGCAATTAAAAATGTTACTTAACCAAGGGTTCCCTCGACCAATTTTGCCTACACAACATCCCTTTGTTTCCCTGTAAAGTTGTAAATAATCAAGTTTCTTCAAAACTTTAATCAAAATTTTGAATTTAAGATGGGATTAGTATCAAATGTTCTGGATTGGATCCTGGGACCTCTACCAGCAAAGATAATACTGCTGGGTCTAGACAACGCAGGGAAGACGACAATTTTATACAAAATAAAGCAGGGGCAAGTTATCAATACTATTCCTACAGATGGATTCAACGTCAACATAAATGTAAGGATGGTCTGACGTGAAACTCAAGTAAATTTCATGGAGGATTTAAAACTTTGACGTTTGCAATCATAATTCTTTTCTTATAGAGTTATTGTAAAGAAAAAATATGATTTGAATTTCTAATATGCAACCGGAAAATTTAACTTTTTTCATGCGTTAAATAAGAAATAGATTAACTACTGCAGTGATAAGTAGAAAACTCTAGAATAGGAAGACGACTTTAAGAATCAAGTAATAACTTAACAAAGTCCAAAGAGCTCGAGACACAGCAATTGTGCAGTGTAAAATTTTACTAAATTAGTAATCTAATAAGTGTCAAGCTCAACTTTTTGCTTTGTGCTAACATCAAATACACTTTAGTATTGCAATAATGTCGTCTTTTTTCCATTGTTTTCTGGTTATCACTGCACGATGTCAAAAAGTCGTCCCAATAATCTCGCTCTCGTTCTGGATCTAGTTAATAGTGGTATACCTGATGACTCGCATAAAACTCCAATTTTCTGGTTCCATAAATCTTTGCATTCTGATGGTGCCAACATTTGATATTTTAAACTTTTTCTTTTGATCCACAGTGTTACCCAAAAAGGATGAGATTTCAGAGACCATTTGTGTGGAATTTATTCAGTCGTTTTTCTTTCATTTATAGTACCCTGCAGTAAATTTGAGCTACGTCTCTGAACACCTGCTGCCGTTTAAATTTGAACCACCGATTAAAAGATAAAGATTAAGGATCGATTGAATCAGTGTAGGCAATTTGAATTCATTAAATTTCGTCCCAGATCATTTCACGAGTATTTTAAAACTTTATCCAGTGAAAGCAGTTCGAATTAAATCTTCACATTGGTATTTATAAACAATTTCTAGTCGCCAGCTAAGTCTTATCCTTTGCATGGGTAACCCTGCGGCAGAATTAATAAAATATCAAAGGTTCATGACATCATTTGTAAAAATAAATAGGGGAGTTTAAATTGCACCCTGCGACCGACGGGTTTCCCGACATTCTAGCACCCTCATACGTGAAGCGATCCGACTCACAAGCACATTTTTGAAAATTAGATTTTATCCTAAAAAGTCTTGGATTTATGTTTAGATATTTCTTGATACAACTTGAAGCAATTTAATTCCTTTATTCGTCTTCAAAAGAATTGGTGTCTATTAAGTTTGAGCCGCGTTTGATTTTTTTTCTTCTTTTTTTTAGTAAATATATATATTTCCAAATTAGCAAATAAAAAGTATTATATTTTTACTTTTTAAATACATTTTATTGGTGTTGCCTTTTGCTTAAAATAATTTATTCACTTTGACAGTTTTAATTTTATATTTGCTTCTAGACTGTCACTCATAAGAGCGTAAACTTTACAGTGTACGATATAGGAGGTCAAGATTCAAACAGGTTTGACAGTTTTGAATAGATATAGTCTTTTTTTTAATCTTCACAAGGGCCTGAATTTGATAAATTTCAGGGTCGCTGAACTGCTTCCGGTTCAAATTTGAATCACCGACTCGCCTCGATCCTGATTCTTTAACTTAACTTGGTGGTTAAAATTTGAACCGGCAGTATGTAGTTCAACAACCTAGCTCAATTACCTAAAAATTGGGCCAAGGTTACATAAAAAAACAAATTGTTATATCATTCCTCCCATTTTTCAATATTTATTAACCAAAAGTCTGAAAGTAATGAAAAGATTTTAGAGCATTGAAGGATCTGTTGACGTCATTTCAAGCCACTTGGAAGAGAAAACTAAAATTTAAAAAAACCTATTTTTATCCTCATTAGTTGTTGTAAATATGACATGCCAGATGAAGGGTCACTTGAAATAACATGTACAGTGTATCTCTCTGCGCTACGGTCTCAGAAGTAATATTATATTAATACTGTTATTACTAGGCAAACTGAAGCTATTGTTTCCAGGGGGGCGGAGGGGGGGATGCGCCCAACCAGGTCCTGTACCCCTCTTACCTTGAAAGCTAAAAAAGATCAAACCTTTTTACAAAACTCTGTATACGCCCCTTTAAAAAATGTATTTTGTTTATTTAGAGATTTGTGGTATAATTACTATGAGGAAGTTGAAGCTGTTGTTTATGTGGTGGACAGCTCGGATAAGAACAGGATGGAGGAGAGCAAACTACTCTTAGAGTCAATACTTAGGTAACTTAGCTCGGATAAGAACAGGATGGAAGAGAGTAAAGTACTCTTAGAGTCAATACTTAGGTAACTTAGCTCGGATAAGAACAGAATGGAGGAGAGCAAACTACTCTTAGAGTCAATACTTAGGTATCTTAGCTCTGATAAGAACAGGATGGAGGAGAGTAAACTACTCTTAGAGTAAATACTTAGGTAACTTAGCTCGGATAAGAACAGAATGGAGGAGAGTAAACTACTCTTAGAGTAAATACTTAGGTAACTTAGCTCGGATAAGAACAGTATGGAGAAGAGCAAACTGATATTAGAGTCAATACTTAGGTAACTTAGCTCGGATAAGAACAGGATGGAGGAGAGCAAACTACTCTTAGAGTCAATACTTAGGTATCTTAGCTCGGATAAGAACAGGATGGAGGAGAGTAAACTACTCTTAGAGTCAATACTTAGGTAACTTAGCTCTGATAAGAACAGAATGGAGAAGAGCAAACTGATATTAGAGTCCATATTTAGGTAACTTAGCTCGGATAAGAACAAGACGAAAATGTGCACAGTAACCCCAATCTCCATCTCAATCTCCATCTCGATTGATTGTTTAACTCGAATTATGAATGTATGATTAGTAAATACGTTTTGTTATGCATGGGCAGGGCGGTCCGCGTCAATGATGAATCTTTATTATTTTGATCTGTGTTGTACACACTGTTTTAAATACATACTGTGGGCATTGGGCACGAAGTACTGTACAATTTTATATAGTTGTATTCACTCTGCACTAAATACTGTCTAGGCATGAACTACTGTACAACTGTACACTGTTGGTGCTGAACAACAAGGATGACCGGCTAGGAACCTGTTCTAATGAAGAGGTTGCATCACAGCTGGGTCTAAACCAGTTTAATGACAGAGATCTAACTATACAGGTAGACCAATCTGACGGGTTCCTTCAAAGGAGAAGATTATAAAGACGACCTGAAACTTTATAAAAATAATGATTTCAAGTTTGAAATAAGACTTTTGTCGGACACAATTGTTTAATGGCTTATTTATTGATATTCCTAAGAATGAAATTAGTTAACAGTTTATGGGGAATCATGAATATAAGGAAACAGAAAATATAAATTCCGTGCAGTCGTCTCTGAAGTCTCTCATTTTCCTCTTTTAAAACTAAAAAACAAACACTAGTATAAAATTAACTTTTTCACCTAATATCAGTGGATTAAAACAAACATTTACAAAATCACTGAAAAATTTATATTTTATAATTTTCAGTCAACCTGTGCCTTGAGAGGAGAAGGGGTCTGGGAAGGGTTGGATTGGTTGGCGAAAAATATAAAGAAAAAGAAAAAAAGGCAGCTGTTCTAAATATGAATTATGTTTTAATGTTGAGCTTTTTGGATTTTATTTGATAAATGGTATATATATATACACAATAAAATACAATTGAACTAAAATATTAAATTTTATTAATATTGAGAATTTAATTTTGAACTAAAATATTTTTCTCATTAAAAAAGTACAAAATATGTGTTCAAAGATGTTTAATGTTAGAAATACATTCTTCGCGTTAATTTAAAGTAAATTTAAAATATTTCTAAACTTGTTTACTTTATCATTTTATCCAGAACCTATTGAGAAGAACAAAAATGTTTTGGATTTCTAATAAATAGATTACACCACTCTTAAAGTTGCATCAAAGCCGGTACAACATGTACCGGCTTGACAGCAATTATCAAAAATGTCAAAAATAGGAATTTCCCAAATGCCTGGGTATCTGGGAACTTACCCAAATGCCTGGGTATCTAGGAAATTTCCCAAATGCCTATTTTAATAAAAAATGTAAATGCTGTCGTGTCATGATACAAATGATAAAAATTAATAGGAGACCTCATATTATTATTATTAGTTTTGTTTAAAATTCAGAACAGAATTTTAAGAATAATTTACAAAGTTATATATCCAAGGAAACTACAGATATATAATACAAACATATCGTTATCGAACATAGTCTGTTGTGCCTAACTGTTCCGGACGTTTATTAGGTTAATTTTATTCCAAACTTTAGCTTCCACAGTCCACACATAGATCCAGACTGCTGAAAATAATCAAGATAATTGAGTCTTTGTAACAAACTATGATTTTCTAATCTCTATATCTTCACAACACAATGTAGTAGACCTTAGATATTTCAAACTATGAATTCTGTTAGATGAAAAAAGTTTGAAATATCAAAGGTTTACACCATCAGGTGGAAAAAATCAGAGTTTGTTACAAAGACTCAATTCCTCTAGTTTTTAAGTAGGAAGCGAGAGCTTGCATCTTTTGAACCATACTGTGTACTCATTTTGGCTAGGTGGTTAAATAGATATTAAAACAGGGCTTGGTTATGTAAATAAAAATAATTTTATGCTTAAAACCATACTAACTTTAAAAATAGGAACAAAAATACATACAAAAATACAAACGCTTAATTTTCTAATCCCAATATATTTGCAACCCGATGTCGTAGACCTTAGATATTTCAAACTAAGAATTTTGTCAGATCAAATAGTTTGAAATATCAAAGAATTACAGAATAAGGTTGTAAAAATATAGGGAACAGACAATTTTAGTTTGTGCAAAATTAAGTATGTTTGTAATTAAAAATGACAGCATAAAATCTCACAGAGAAACAGAAAGGTGTGGAAAACTTTTTAAGACATGGGTCGGCCACTCTAGTCATGCCGAGCCCATTAGCGCTGATCCAATCAGGGTTCAGCCATGTGTTTGTTGTCTATTCTGAACCAATAGAAATTGTATGGGGCGGTAACATCTATCTTTCTATCTATCTCATTATCCAATTAGAGTTATGAATCCTTCAATCGTCGCTATCTGCAGTAAATGGAAATATGTACTTTTACTGAAACTATGGCGCGGCTTTAATGTCGCAATATTTTTGCCATTTGGTTTTTATTTTAATAGCTATGGCATCAATTTGCGATTGTTTAAGAGACACTCTGTCACCGACTCGACAACTCGACAATTCTATTGAAGTAAAAAACAGACTTTTGGACAGCTAGAGCAAGTATATTATAGTACACCCTAGATAAATTAGAATAGATAGCTTATGTCGTCTTCACTATACCGGAGAGTTACAGTTGAAATTGTCGTATTCTGTCGTCACAAGTGTCAATTCAGTTTTTGTGTCCGACAAAATCATTAATAATATTGATAATGTTAGAATAAAGTGCTTTTCTTACAGTAAAATAAGTGCAATTTAATGTGTTCTTTAGTTTCTGTTTTTACACTTTTTTATTTCATCTTGGGAAACATGTCAACATGTGTATAATAGGTTGATTTCTCTGTTGCCACCTATTGTACTTGATAATCTATTTCTCTGTTGCCACCTATTGTACTTGATAATCTATTTCTCTGTTGCCACCTATTGTACTTGATAATCTATTTGCTAGGGACATATAGTACATTTGATATCTATGTAGTACACATAATACGTCGACTGTAGACACGGGACATTACACCAAATGAATCATCCCCTTCTATTAAGATTAATATGCTGTAGTGTATGCATAGATCTTCAAAATGTCTGAATATATCTCCGTGTCAATGTCACACAGCTTCAATCGTTGCATGATACGAACCAGTAACAGGATTTACCAGTCTGATGTTGTTGTACTGTATATGTACTCACTTGTACCGACCAGTCTAGACTACCCATAGTAAAATAGGATTTACCAGTCTGATGTTGTTGTACTGTATATGTACACACTTGTACCGACCAGTCTAGACTACCCATAGTAAAAGCGGCCTATCAAGTTTTATGCAACAAATACAAGATCTCCCTGAAAACTTATCTGTCTGTCTGTCTACCAATCCCCTACGATTAAGATCTGAAATAAACTTGAACCAAACTTAGAAACTTCACAGGAAAACTAATTCAAGTATTTAATTCCTGTTACGTCCTTTTAAATTATTTTTCTTCTCTTTCGAAAGTTGTTTTTCAAACTAAACTTCTAATTTCTTTTTTGTCATCTTTACGTTTATTTTCTTTAATTCTCCATTAATGAGAAGTAAGATTTTTTAGGGACTTTGGTTGGTTTATTTTCTTAAATATTTTTTATTAATATAACGGTGTACTTTTAATCCTGTCGATTTAACTTTGGGAATTAATCCAAAAAAAATTCTTTTTTTAACCCTATGATGGCTGGGGGTCTTAATCTGTGTAAAGCCGAGTGGGGGGGGGGGTTTGGCACCCCCCCTAGAAAAAGGCCTTAGAGAATAGGTATAGGGTTGAAATACACGTCCATAGCCCAATTTTTCATGGCCAGCTCAAAGAAAAAAATTAGACCGATAACTTTAATAGTTTAGGTGCTAGGGAGGGTGAAAAAAATGCCTATACAAATGAAAAAAACATTTTTTGTTTTTAACAAATATCAAAGGCTTTTAAGGCTTTTTAAAAATATAGTTTTTAGATCTGTAGCTTTAGTTAAAAAAAAGTTATGGGCTATTCTAGATTTTTTTTTCACAGACCGGACTTTTTTTTCCCCCTGTATCATACCCTATAAATAAAAAAAATATGTTTTTTTAGCAAAAAATTCTTTAAATTACTATTCATTAAAAGTCACAAAATTTCACGGTGATAATGTCAAAAATGAGAGTACTAGGACAAAAAACTACATGGAGGGGGGGGGGCGCCGAACGCCCCCCCCAGCCTGTTTAGGGTTAATTAATACTCCCGGTTTTGAGGCCTTATTCTATCGATTTCTTCACCTTTTCAACCAAAAAAAATAATTTTTACAGACTTCGTTAATTTTTGCTGAGTTTGACACAATTTTTTAAATTCATTAAGTTTAGAACTCAAGAATTTGTAAGATATTAACATTCACTGCTGCATCTTACTGCATCATGTATTGTATATAAAATTGTTAGATTGCATACTATTTCACTAATAAATTCCCAATCAAAAATGTAATAATTAAATTTACATTACGATTTTGTTGTAGGAAAGTTCGCAGAACTTCTTGAAAATAAGTCAAAAACAAATTTTAATAATCGGCGGAAATTTTAAAGATTTCTCATAATTTTTTTCCCTAATTTAAAATATTCTAATATTTTCAATTTCAGAATATTTAAAGTAGTTGATTATGAATGAAAACTATTTGTAAATTACGTTTCATCTCAGTTTTTAATTTAAATTTCTAAGTACAATGTTTTCATGTTTTAATTAAACCCTGTTAAATAATAAACAGCAATTGAAAGCAGTTTAAACCATAGATAAATAAATAAACATAGATAGCTTATGTACGCAAAATCACCAAGAATTGTACAGTCCGCGAACTCATACTTCTAGGGGTCAAAGTGTACTTCAATTATAAGCGGGGTGGTTTGGTGTTTTAATGAATTTCATAATAGAGTGTAAAAAAACTCCGGGAATGGAACTATTTGAACAACAATATTTCACTGAGCAATATATCATATTGACGAGAACTGAAGAAGGACATGAGAAGGACTAAACTAACTTAAATTTCTCTCTACAGAACTCATGTACACCACAAGTACTCAATGACATAAGAACAGCCAATGTTCACAACCGACCTAGTTAATCT